AAGCGATTCTGCCAGACTCCGGTGTAAAGTGCGTCGTCGTCGTCTCAGGGCAACTAATTTTCCAGAGTCTTCTATAGACTGATTAATTGCATATTCCTCCATTAGGAGATCTGATTCTGCGGTGGGGGAAAAAAAAATAAAATTAAAAAAGAAATATAGGGTTACTGAATCAAGAAGGACAAGAAGCTACTGGAGAGGGTCCAGCACAGGGCCACTGAGATGATGAAGGGCCTGAGGCACCTTCCATGTGAGGAAAGGCTGAGAGAGCTGGGTCTGTTCAGCCTGGAGAAAAGGAGGCTGAGGGGGGATCTTATCAATGCTTATCAATATCTAAAGGGTGGGTGTCAGGAGAATGGGGCCAGGCTCTTCTCAGTGGTGTCCAGTGACAGGACTAGGGCAAGGGCCATAAACTGCAAAACAGAAGGTTCAACCTGACCATGAGGAACCCCTTCTTCCCTGTGAGGGTGACAGAGCCCTGGAACAGGCTGCCCAGAGAGGGGGTGGAGTCTCCTTCTCTGGAGACTTTCCCAAGCGGCCTGGACTTGTTCCTGTGTGATCTGCTCTAGGGGATCCTGCTCTGGCAGGGGGGTTGGACTAGATGGTCTCTAGAGGTCCCTTCCAACTCCTTCTACTCTGTGAATCTGTGTAACTTTCCAAAGGAAAGCAGAAAAGCCTGGCACTGGAGGCTTACACTGTGAGACATGGAGGGTGGCAGTGTGGGGAATTAGTGCACCTTCTAGGAAATTTAACTTAAACCAGGTAATGGACATAAACTACACCTTAACCTATACTACCTGTCCTATTCCCTAGGTAGGGCTTGTTACACTTTTCAGCTACGATGCACATTCAGCCTACGCAGGACTGTTTAATGACATGTTAGACAGCAGTTGGAGGAGCACCTCAAGACACTGTTAGACTGAAACTAGGAATTGTGTTAGACTGTGAGCCTACAGCCGTGGCTGGCCAGGCTGTTAACAAACACAGCCAGGGAGCCTGCCAAGTGCCACTGCTTCTCTTCTCATGCCCACAATCAAGGAAATATTTAAACGATAGGCACATGCAGTTGAGAGTAACAGCTTTCCTGCTGCTCCTCCTGTTTCCTTCAGAAAGCAAGTGCTGACAAGGTATACAAAAGCTACTTGTTAGCACTAAGCCACCAGGCTGCTTTTACACCCTGGAATTGGCAGATATATTGACGACAGGAACTTCTGACTCAGAGGTTCCCCTGGTGTTGCCTTCTTTTCAAGCCATTCTCTAAGGAATCGAGTTTGACAGACACGAGAACACGCACAGGAAAGGTAGCCTCCTTACTCCAGCACAAAGGAGAAAACGCCTCACCAAGTTGTTTGAAGTTTTCCTGTATTCCTCCCCAGGTATTCTTCTCTATTACAGACTTGACAAGGCCCCAGGGCTGTTTTTTGTACTTCACTTCTGCAGAAACCCTAAGAAACAGAAGGCAATAGTGAAAGAGTGCTCTTCTAGGCAGCAGAAGTCTCTTCAGAAGCAGACCTCTACGCCCATAATCTGAAATGCCAACTGGAACTGCCTTGGCTTTCAACCTGTGCAGCCCTTACAGCAAAGCCAGGCAAGAGACAGAGAGCAGCAAAGACAACGTATCTAGCTAAAACCTCAGGAGAGCCAAATGGCCAGATTACGGGAAATGTTTTAAAGTTTTTTCCTTCAGACTCACGCTAGCAGAGAATTTATGTCCTCTGAAGTGTTGTCATTTTAACACACATTTAAAATAGGCTTCAGGCTTTCAGATGATAAAGCCCTGCTTTTTACTCTGTATGTGTACACGTGATGTATTCCACAGGCACCACAATGGCAGCGGGTGAAATTCGTTATCACCACCCATACACCAAGTGCTCAGATCCTACCCTGAATAGGCAGAAATGAAAATCTGTTTCTCTGTGAGCGTGACAGAGGGGAAGCGACATTCGTGCCTTGCATTCCTCAGGTCAGGCTAATCAATATTGCTTCCAGAATAGAAATTAATTGGAGTAGAATCCTTCAGAGGGCTGCTTCTAACAACCAAATGAATTCCAAAGCTCTTCATAAAGGACAAAAGGATAGCCTGTGGTTTTGATTTGTTTAAGTCAAGAACACTGACTGTCCTAGAATCCACTTTTACCCACATTTTCAAATCATCATCCAATTGCTGTGTTTCTAGTCTAACAAAACAGCATCTTTCAAGCAGAGTTTTTGAGCCATTCTGAACACAGTATAAAGCAGCCAGCTGTAACACCACCATGCACCTTCTGTTCTGTACACACATGCTCCACGCGCCATACTGAAACCTAGGCTTTTGCTCTTACTCTAGGGTTGCCATGTGTCTCCGACAAAACAAATATAGCCCTCAGAGGAAGAATGACTCACTTAAAAAAATCATGCAGAACTCAAGGACTTTTCTTCTCTTCTCCTCCCAGTAGAGAGGGAGTCTTCAGTAGCCCTCAGAGGAAGAATGACTCACTCAAAAAAATCATCCAGAACTCAAGGACTTCTCTTCTCCTCCCAGTAGGGAGGGAGTCTTCAGCACTCTTATAGCCAGAGATAAGGCAAAATAAAATCCGGGCTTGCTTACCTGTCCTGGGTACTGGTGAAGTTTGAAATAAAAGGCTTTAGTAAAGACAGCTGAAACACTACCAAGGATTACTGTACCATGCTGATTATGGACAATTACATAATCAGAAAGTCACACAAATGCACTGAACATGGAATTTGATCACTTCAGGAGGTTTCAACAAGTAGGAGAGGAAAGGGAAGTGCCTTTTAAGACCCCTCTATCTAGGTAGAGTTTAACAATGAGGCCTGATGTACTTGAGTACCCTCCCTGCAAAAGTAGGTGTGTTCCATCTTCCCTGCTCCTTCCTGTGAATCATCCTCCTCTGCAGGCCCTTACCAAGGATATCTGGTAATCTCTGCAATAAAACTTCTCAGGTAGTTCAAATTTATCCTACTCACACAGCGGCGGTTGAAAACACAGAGCTGGTCAGAACCCAGCTCAGGCTCAGAGATGAGTTCCATACCTCAGAGTCAACATAAGAGTTCGTTTCTCACTGACTTAACGAGATCCAAATACAGCATACGTGTGATAAGAGATAAGCAAGCTTGTTTTTTCAGGAGAGGACCCCAACTTCAAAAGAAACTTGCATTCTCTATGCTGTTGACAGATCCTTTGACAAGCATGCTTCATCAACACGTAACACACGTGCCTTGGCTCTCCCCTCCCCCTGCACACCGTAGAGGACCCCAACTTCAAAAGAAACTCGCATTCTCTATGCTGTTGGCAGATCTTTTGACAAGCACGCTTCATCAACACGTAACACGTGTGCCTTGGCTCTCCCCTTCCCCTGCACACCGCGCAGGCTCACCGTAATCGGCACTTCTGACTGGATGTGCGGTTGATGCAGTATCTGTTCACAGTGTAGAAATAATCATGGTAGGGGACGTCATGGGTCAGTACCTCAGCATCCACCTGGTAAGACTGGCCTTTCTGGCTCTGTTTATGCAGGATCTATCATAAAAGAAAGTAAGAATAAGAAGGAATATTCGTGGTACCAAATTTCTCTCCTCTCCCTCCGACTGAATTCCTTAGGCTAGGATCAACCAACTCCAAGTGAACTGGAGCAGGGAGAAAGCCTGAACAGCCGTAATAAAAACCAGTTAAGAATGCCAAGTACAGATGGGGTAGAGAAAGAGAAGACGCCTCCTCACTAGAACCATCGCCAGCAGCAGCTCCGTCCCCACCGCCGTTTCAAGCAGCAGAAGTCACTGACTCTTTGAGGCTGACTGAGAGCACCTTTCCCAAAGGAGAATCACAGAACAGTTGAGATTGGAAGGCACCTCTGGTGATCATCTTGTCCAAGAACCCCACTCAAGGAGGGCCATCTAGAGCTGGTCACCCAAGACCACATTCAGATTGCTTTCCCATGTCTCCATGGAAGGAGGTGCCACAAACGCTGTGGGCAACCTGTTCCAGTGCCCTGTCACTCCCACAGTAAAAAAAAGAGTCTCCTGATGTTCAGAGGGAATGCCTGTGTTTCAGTTTGTGGCCATTGCCCCTGGTCACCACTGAAAGGTGTGGCCAAGGCCTGGCTTGGTCACCTTTGCACCCTTCCCTTCAGGTATTTATTTACAGTGTAAGATCCCCCCGAGCCTTCTCTTCTCCAGGCTGAAGTCTCAGCTGTTTCTCATACGAGATGATTAAGGGACTGGAGCATCTCAGTGGCCCTTCACTGGACTCTTTCCATCTCTCTCGTGTACTGGGGAGCCCCAAACTGGACACGGAAAGCACTTCATTGCATCTTTTCGCCCAATTTATAAGAGATGTTAACACCTTTCCCCACAGGCTTTGTGGGAGAAGCTTCCAACCACCTATAAAGGTAGACAACCTCTCTGACTTACCAGCATTTGCTCACCAACGGTGAGAGGAACAGCCACCTACCCTTAGAGACGCTGCACTGAAACTGGAGATCCACACTGAGCTCACCGAACTCTAGTCCACGGTTGAGATCTCTGACAGACCATAGTCGACCTCTCCCTGGCTCTAAAGGGCACCAGACAGACACGCACGTGCACAGTACCTGCTTTTCAGTTGCAGTTGTGAACTTCCCACAGAGGGGATTGTTAATCGTTACAGTGTACGTCAACGTCCTCAACTGATTGCCACTGGAATCTCTATTCCAAGGGGTTGATACAGCATCTAGATGAGAAATGATGCACAATCTTGCATGTGGATTTACCCAAAAGGTATTAACTCTGCCCTTTCGTATCTTAACAGTTCAACAGTGGTTGGGAGAGAGACAGAAAAGTGCTTCCAAATGTGGTTCTTTGCAGGAAAAGGGAAGATTGTAGTGCACTGATGAACAAAGGTGAGGCACCAAGTAGCTGAACCCGAGTCTACTAAAAGCAGCTTGAGGGTGGGGGAGAAGAGTAAGCAATCAAATGAAATAATTTCATTTCCCATCTGCTTAAAGTTGAATAGATTCACTTAGCATTATCAAAAGCTTTTGCCACTTTGCCTTCCGAGCTGACACTGAATAAATATTACCCTTTTTGACTTAATTTTCTGTGCTTACGATTTCAGTGAATAAAATTTACTCATCCAGAAAATTAAAGTCTGTCAGTAGCTTTTAGGAGGTGATGATTTTGCCTGTGTGCCAGCCATACACATTTCACTATTTCTGGGACACAATGTAATCACAAATACCCCTGGAACACATCAACTTCATAGCCTACCCAAAATTCAGACACTAAGGCGCAGTTTTGTGGTGCACTGACATGAGGTTTTTACTCCAAGATGTGACTGATCTACAGGATCTACAGAAACAACAGGCTCTCTCAAATATCCTCTCTCATAGCGTAACTTTAAAGCTTCAAAATGCTTTTAAAGTAAGGAGAAATGTAAAGTTCAATTTATCCCTATTTAACATTTCTCAGAGGTTGAAATTTTCAGGCTAGTTTGCAACACAGAAGGGAGAAGAGTGTATTACCTACTATACTCCTGGAACTGAGAAACCTCTGCATGAAGTGAGAATTGGTGAAAAGGATTTCAAACATCTTGTCTGCAGTGATGTGGAAAACTCTGTTTATAAAAAGTCTCCCATAGAGTTCATTCTCAGAGACGGTCTCCTTCACTGCTAAAGAAAGGCAGGGAGATCAGGTTAAGAAAAGAGCAGTATTATGAAGAAACTTTATAACATTCTAAGCTTTATTACAGCCCAAATCCTTCCCAAGCTTGCATCAGCATTTGTTTCTCACTCTCTGAAACCCAGTAACGATAGCAGCACAAGATACTGGTTGGTAGGTTTGGTTGTCTTCAGGAGCAAAGTCCAGAGTCGATTTTTCACTGTGCTTCCCTCCCCCATCTCATTTCCCCCCACCTCCATTTCCCTGTGCAAACATAAATCAATAAATCAACATCACAAGGTCCCACCCCTTTAGTTTTGCCTTCAGTAGTCTACAAATCCTACAGGAAACATTGAAAAAAGAGAGAGAGTTAGCATAATCTTCATTAATATGTGTGCCTATCCTACAAAGGGCAAGCACGTGGCAAGCAGGGCAGTGAAACCATCTAGTTTTCTTCTTAGCTGTGGCCATTTCCAGCGTTCTGCTTTAAACATCTGTAATGCAGGTAGCGTCCACAGCCTAAGAGATGAGCTACAGACTTCCTAACAGTTCCTCAAACCGTTCCTCCCTCCATGCCTATTTGTAAGAGGAATGTGAGAGGTACCCTGCTCCATTCTGCAGTCCTGAAAAGCACACCGAGACGCTTAATCGGCATCCCCTATTTCAGAACCACCACCAAGTGCTCCAGTGGTGTTCTGTGGTTGCAGCACTGATCTTTGCTATTTCTGCTGCTTCTTGGCTGCTGGCATGACTCAACTCTGTGGTTGTCTCAGCCACTCTTGCAAGAGATAAGGGACAGAATTATAATCCTGGAGGGCAAGCTGTTTCCTACCCTAAACCCAACTCAATCTGTTCATGCTTTAGAAACAAGTCCGTCCTAAATCACAAGTACCAAAATAACAAATAAAAACCTACACACACATCACTGAAATGAAACAAAAAGCCTGAGAAGTCAGGACGCCTAACCTTTCAACTGATACAATGAAGGCTCAGAGCTAGCGAAGGGCAGTGCCAGCCACCAATGCAAAAGCAGCTTGAGCATCAAGCTATAGTTCACAAGCTGCCTACAGGCTAAGGTTACAGCACTTAAAACGTTACTGCTTGGTAGCAGTCAGCATTAATAAATGCAGATGGAGGAACTGAACACCACGACAGCCCCCACCAAAATCCAGTTTGGACTCTGAGCAGACTTCCGCTCCTGTGCTGCTTCGAGCCGGCTAGAAGTCCCTGTCATACATCTGCTTCCAAAAAAGTTCCCTTTGACCTAATCAGGTTTCAACGTCAGACCCAAAAACCAAAAGCATGAATGCCATCATCTTGTGCTTGGGCAAGAGATGCACTTCCTTCCCACAACATCATGTTTGGCTTATGCAACTGTAAATCAACACAGTTGCAAGGTGGGAGAGGAAGCAAGGACGCATTTTAAGAGGCCTATTTGCCCATCCCACATGCAGTCACTACTTGCTAGACTACAGGTTCTGCTGTGCCGAAACATTCTGCAGGAAGCCAGAAATTCTGTCTGGGTTTTCAGCTTACGTTCACTCTATTGGCTCTCAGAGCTGAGCCTTATTCCATCACATGCAGTCTGAGCGAACTACAAATCTGACCTCAGCTAACGAGGCCTCAACATTGCAGACCTCTCCTTTCAGACTGCCTCCCCACCTCCTCTTTTTCGCTAGGAGATGGGAAGCTTCAGATACTGATGGTAGCATCCCCTTTGCCCACTGTGCACCAGCACAGAGCCAGACACCAGGTAATTCAAACCTAGTTACTGTGGTTGAGTCTTACTCAGCCAGACATTTACATGCTCAAGGCATCCACCAGGTAATTCAAACCTAGTTACTCTGGTTGAGTCCTACTCAGCCAGACATTTATATGCTCAAGGCATCTGCTACCATTCAAAGAAAAAAAAAAAAAAGAGACAAAGGCTAGTTGTATTTGTCTTAGCAAATACAATACAAGTGACCTTTGCCCCAGTGAAGCTTAGCTAAACGACACAGCTTGACGTTCACCTGAAATGCCTGAGGACAGCTACTCTCTTTCTGCTGATGTAAGGTAATTTGGGAAGCCGCAGCAGCTTATGATATGCACAAACCCCATGCGTTGTTACCTTAAGGTACAGACCTTGCCACTGAGACAATTTACCCTTCAAGTGCGAAGTCTGTCATCCTTGTACCAAGTCCTAAGCAGGAGCATCCGCGGGTCTGTGCAGAATGTCCTGTTAGTTGATCTGCCTACACTGTTTCTGTCTCTTCCCGTGTCTAATAAGGAATAGTCAGTGACATGCCAAGTGCACGGGAGTATCTATTGAGAAGCATGTTTTTACTTACAGCCCCTCACAGCTCTTGGAACAAACAAAAAACTACCATTTATTAGATAGTGTTTTCACATAAAGCAGTATTTTCAGAAAATCCAAGCTGAAACTGGGTTTCAAACAGCTGCTTTCCAGAAAGCCTGGAAATCTTTTGGATGATAGGTCTGGAAGGTGCCTGCGAGTTCCACATCTGTGGAAGCAAGTCGCTACGTACACAGAGAGCTTGACACGCCTCAAGTCACTTCATCTGTGCTTCTCAGAGCTTATCTGCAGAAATCCTAGATGCAGCAGCAAGCAGGAACAGCAGCACAGCAAAGAACAAGTGTGCACACACTTGCAATTTGAACAGAGCTTTAACCGCTCCTCTCTGCTACAAAGGCATGTGCACATTTGCCTACTGTTTTCTTTTGTTTGTCACTCACACGGGCAAACCTGCCTGCCTTTGATTTATCTCAATACCAGACCAACATCAAGCATTTTCCCCTCAGACTGGCTTAGAAATACTGCTTATGAACAATGCGTTCTGTGCAGGTATCTAACTAACTCCTTAACTGCTAAGGCTGTTCTAACTCCTCAGCAGCACGCACTTGTCAAGCACTAACTCTCTTAGCCCAAACAGATGAGTTGGAGCTACTCTGAGAACATGTGATTATTCTGACTTGAGCATGAAGACAGCAAGTCTGTTCCCTCCCCCACTATTGCCTTGCACTTCCATGAGGTCATTTTCATGGCTGCAAGGCAGGCTGAAATACCGCTTGAATATAATACCATTGTGCATCAGTGATTGCAGGGGTTTGAAAACATCTGCAGTGCAAGAAAGAGACAGAAAACTGGGGGGAAGGAGGCAAAAAAAAACCAACCAACATTGCTAAAATTCCTGTTAGCAACCAACAACTCAAAGCTAAACGCAGACCACAGGCAAATTAGGAAAGCTGAACCGACAAGAGCAGAGGCTATCAAACAAATTAATAAGACTGCTGATTTTTCCACTCCACGGAGCTGGGCGAGGATTAGGAGGAAAAAAAACCCCAACCATGTATATATGCAAATCTAGGCACTGTTGAGGAGTTTTATGCCACCGAGGATGGGGAAGATTGCGCACTGCATGAAGAATATGCAGGTAGGAGCTTTTAACCAAACATACCTGAAATTAAGTCAATAAAACCAATTCCTAGAGTGATCGTGTTCCAGACACCATCTATTTAAAGAATGTATCAGCAGTATTAGCCATTATCAAAGAGCTCTCTGAAAGACTAAGTACAAAATTAACTTGGGTAGGTACTGGGTAAGTAATGTGACAATGCTTCCTTTTCCAGTTAAAAAGATAAAGAAAACTTTTGCTTTTAGATAACGCAAACATATATCCTCCAAACCCCAAAGCAAATAATTGGTGGTTATATATTCAACAAAATACATGCTTTCGGTATTCTGAATGAAATGCCAACAAGATAACAGGGCTACTCCTCCTTACATACATTGTATGTCCAAAACTTCATATCTTGGGAAAAAAAAAACACCAAACAAAACCAGGCCTAAACTAATTTCAGCTACCCTGTATTTCTGATGTTTTCTGCCCCATATATCCCTATCTGCAAGAAAGGTCAAGCCCTCACTGTACCCACCATCTCAAAGCGCTACAGCGCATGCAGTTATGCGCTCCTGCAGACCACAGGTTTAAGGTGGTCATTAATACAGATGGAAAGACAGTAAGTCTGTCAGGTTACGCAAGGAGATCAGGAATAGACAATGTCCCCACATACAGTAAAGCTTTCTAACAGAAAAGGTTGTTTTCCAATTTCCTGCTTCTCCCTTTCCCTCTCTGAAGTATTTTATGCTGATGAACACTGTCATTGCAGAAACCCTACATACAAAAGTCATTTAAGTAACTTCAGAATCTCCTGGCTCTATTTTGGAAACGTGTTCTGTGCTTGAACTGAAACTTGTTTTCCGAAATTCAGAATCAAGACCACAGATATTAATTTTTAGCTTAGACAAAAATTTGTCATGGCTCAAGAATTATACTCCAATTTATGGAACAGAACAAAAGCACCAAGATGCAGGTCAATAGGCCAGTGGTGCAGTGAGACATGTGCCCCCATCCCGAGTAAATGATGTGAGAATTGCTTCGGGCAAGGGAACCAGTGTTGCCAAGGCTCTGGCATTCCAGCTTTGGGTGTCAGGTGGACCCAGAGTTGGACAACAGTCTCGAGCTTGCCCCTCACCTTATTTGCCAGGACACCTCCACGGGCAGCCTGAGTATGAGCCAGAGGACACAAGAGAGATTAATCGCATGGGTAAGCCTTTGCCATGTGGGAAAGCTAGTTTTGTTGGCATGAAGGAATTCACCTTCTAAGAGTGTGGGGCAACTGCAACAGAAAACAGACAGAAACAGAAGAAAAAAATTCTAAGCATGAAGAAGAGAATCTGAGAGAAAAGATTAATGTTGTGGGACTAGAAAATCCTGCTCTGAATAATAAAAACAACCCTAATCTTTGGGGAGGGAGGAAAAATAATAAAAGCAGCATGAAGTGTATTCTCTTTTTTAAAGAGACAGCTCCAGTTTAATATGCTCTGTTTACAAATACAGGGATGACAGTGGGGATTTACTGCTATCACTTAGGCAAAACAGCAGCATGAAAGACAACAGGTCTATTTTCAGTTTCACTGGAGATCTTTGCCACGAAAACTAAAAACCCAGAGGCGGGAGAGAGCTGTGGTACTAAGAGGATAGGAAATCTGCAAGGTATCTACAGTATCCAAAGGCCGAAACCTTCTGCTGCTCTAAAACACACCTGGGGTGGAGTAAGCAAGTAACATGTAAAGTTTAAGTGTGTAGGAGTACGGCATAAACAGCAGCCTGTTCAAGCAGGCGTATTCACAAAAGACGGTACAACCTGCCACGCAGCGAGCCAACTCCGAACTCGAGCAAACACAGCAGCAGTGTGGGTGAGCAGAAGGGAAGTTATTTGAATATAAAGTATATCCTCAGGGGACAATCACAACTTGCAGAGGGCCACTTCAATCCATGACTCTGAAAGCTCTCCTGGCCACCACAGTGACCCCAACCACCATACACCTGCAGTGGCCAGCTCTGAAAGGATGAGATGCAAAGTTTCTCAGCCAGATTAAGAACTGTCCTCAGTTAACTGAGCTGTTCTTACTGACAGGTGATGAAAGCAAGTTCTCTCTTTGCATATGAAAGATTCAGCTGCTATTGTTGAGCTTTTTTGTCCTTCACTGCACACACCACCAGACAACTTTGGAACCAATCCAGGTTGCGTACACCTTGTTTCAAGGGCGTTTACAGAGTCCAAGGTTGGGATATTTAACAGGACATCCACAACTTCAGTAAGCTGTTTGAACAGCTATGCCCTTTGGCACAGAAAAGTTTCACTCTGTAAGTGAAAAGCTCACGTTAGAGAGCAAGAGCTTGCCAGGGGCTGCTGTGGGACCACAGAGCAAGTACCCAGAGACCTCAGTACAGTTGTCTGTCATCCAGGCTGGGTAGAAGGCATGCTCTGGCCTTACTCTCCCCCAGGACATTGCAGAAACACCTGGACTTTCGGCGAGTTCCTCCGTTCACTCCATCAGTAACACTGAAGCCCATATGCCTTACGAAAGCAGAAGTATAAAGAAGGGCTGGTGGGGTGGGGGCATGGAGAGAATGAGGGAATCTTTCCAACTGGAGAACAGTCTGAAGTGTTTCCCCTCCATTCTCAAGAAATTAAAACAAAGAAAAATATTTTAAATACCTGTGAAAGCATGGAAAGTGACCAAACACCACATTGTCAAGAAACCTTTGTTTTTTAAAGCTGTCACCAACTCTTTACCCACCACGAAAGAAAAAGCAAAACCACAATTCGTTTCTGTTCTAAACGCCCACAACAGTAACTTTTTCCTTCTCCCCAGAAACTAAGTAAGATACAATGTTGGTTTTGCTGCAATTCTGTGAAACAAATGAGCAAACAAGTTTCCTAGGATCGGAAAGTTCTCTAACTTGCTCCACAAGCGAGATGGAACACCAGAGCCAGGTTGTCTTACAGATACCAACTGTTAAGAGCTTTACCTTCTTCACTATCTGAGGCACTGCTCTTCTCTGGAAGATTCTCATTCTCATTCAGGTCCAAGGACTTTTCTAAAGACCTGCTCCTGACTAGCTTAACAGGTTTTCTTTCTGAAGATGGAGGAGGGCTTCTCTTTATTTGCTTCTCACTTGGGGACTCCTCCACCTGAAACAACCAAGAGAAAAAAAAAAAGCATTAGTATTCACAGACTGTTTAGAAGAAGAGAAAGTTACTTTCAAAGAAGAAAGCTATATAAAGGAAGCCACAAGTTCTCTCTGCTCAATTACCACACACACAGCCAAGCACTAACTTCTCCCTTGTTCCCCTGCCCCAACCAACCTCCCTTCCTCTTTATTTCAGGTTTTCACTCTGCCCTGGTAGCAAGGGGACAGACTTACTGTCAGAGCTGTCTTAAAAGGGACAGTTTACTCCCCCATCCATGCCCCCTGCACATCCATGCCACATGCACAGTTTGGTGTCCTTCCCTGCATCAATCTTAGCATCTGTAAATTCATTAACCTGACACAGATTATTTACATTTTATTGATCAAGTATGTTTTCCTGACAGTTTAGCAAGTGGTACAACAATCCTGAGTAGAAGCACAATAAGATACGTAGGGCCTCCCTTTTTAAGCAAGATTAGATCACCCTGATTATGTATTTGAAAGGTGTTCTTATTTCACAGGATTCCATTATCCTTTGAGAAAAAAAAAAAGTTTTAAAACACTGCCTAGAGCCATCCTACCTAGAAAGTGTTACTTCTCAGAAACAAAGCAATGGGGAATCATTTGCCATTTCCAACGTATGAGCAGGACATTCCCCAAAACATCAGTCACTGAACTGATGATGCAGCTTTTAATGCTAAGCTATAACTGACAGCTAAGCTTATATGCCATTGCACATTTCAAGAAGTAATTTCTAATGAAACCATATGCACCAAGGTTTGTACATCTCAAAATGCCACCAAAAAAGCTTAGCTACTAGCTACAAATCGTAGCTTTCCTTCTAAACCTCTCCGCAAAGCTCCCATTGCCTCCAGTGGAACAGCAGGGATCAACAGAACTACAGCCTCCCATATGCTATGCAGTAGTGAACTGACCATAATACCGAAGATCAGGCCTCCCCAACTGAGTAGTTCTGACTCATCTGCAATACCACCATCCCTAAAAAAAGATTATTCAGCACTGACTCAAAAAAGCAAGAGCACCCGTTACTTGAATAATCATCATGTACTTCCTGTACTTCTTGGCTTTTTTCAAAATAAAGACCATCTACTTTTCTGTGCATTAGCAGAAGGTGGGTGGCTGGAGAACAGAGACAGGCATGAGTTTGACTGCAGTATAAGCAGGCAAAAATGCTCCCTCAAGGTCAAAAAATTAAAAAAAAAAAAAAGAATGGAAGACCGCATCAGGAAAGCGGACCAGTTGACAGATGCTCCCGCTGTAGAAAGGAGATACCATGCCTGAAGTGATACTCAGTCACACAACAGGAACTAGGAGAGAACCAAAATTTCCATGTCAACATACTCTACCGATACAGATGGAAGTCAGTAAAGAACTAGTTGTGGTTAAAGTCTGGAAATTGACACAGACCCAGCATAAAACCAAGGAATTCTCTCAGCTTTTTGATGAAGATTAGGAATCTGAACAGAGGGAACTCCCACCAGCAGCGTAAGAGCAGCCCCCACCATGCCAAGAGGAGAGAGGAGAAGTCAGGCTCAACTTAGAAGACCAGAGCAACAGCTCCTACAAAAAAGCTTTTTGTGATGTCAGGGAGCAAGAGATTGATAATGAAGCTTTTGGAATAACTGATTAAGTTAAACAAAGCTTTCGTATTTCTATTTCTTCTTTACCCCTAAGGGGTAATGATTTTAAGATCCACCTGTTGCAATTAAAGATGCATACTTTCCTCCTTACGTACATTTATCTCCTGAGCTAGTCCAGTACTGCTGAGCTCTGTGCCAAGGCTTTTTAGTTGTGTAACCTGTGACTCAGCCGGCTCCAGGACTGGGAGGCTCCAAGGTCTCCCTCCAAGGGGTGGGGAGAAGATGGTTGATTCAGACAAGCATAAGGTGGATCCCACACTGTGATGAGCTGCACTCAAGAGAAGCACACGTGCCATAGCTGGTGTTACACACAGACTTTCCTTAATCAGCTACAGACAGCTGACAACAGTATTTTTTTTCAAAGACCCACCAAGTACTACAGCTGACACCTCCCATCATTTCACATCTCCCCCTGAAGAGAGCTTTGGGACTTTGCCTATCGGAGCAGGAAAGAAGGGGTTAAGTCTGTTTCTCTCCAGTCTTTGGAAGGTGATTAGATGTGTTTTGTCATCAGTGCCGTGTTTTTCAATAAATACATTCTAAGCACTGCTGTCTCCTCCTACTGCCCCTATGCTTCTACAACGTAAGCTGTAATCCTGGGGTTGTGGAGAGCCTGTGGACGTTCTTGGGAAGTGCCAAGTGCCACATATAGCTGAACACCACCATTACACTGAAACAGTAAGCTAAACAGTTTAGCCACACATTCATCAAGTCTCCCTTTTACACTATAATTAAAGGACTTCTAAAAATAGGTTTATTCAGGGGAGAACCCTAATGTGTTCCTTGCTCACCAAAATGCCCCATTAGATTTAGCACCTGCAAGAGACATCTCTGGGTGTGGCACCAGTAGGTAAACAAAGCACATCTTTTCCAGGCACAGCAATTATTTTTAAATGGCTTGCTCTTGCACAAATAAGACTTACAAGTCCAAACCAAGGCTACCTGGGTAGATCTTCAGTTATCCTTCAAGAGCCCTAATTCCAGCAGCATCTACAGGTCTCCCTTACTGCTCTCCACAAATCCTGGTTTATGCTGTTAGGATTTCCATGAGGGAAACTAAGCTCTTAACGTCTGACAAACAAACACCAACAGTTTGCTGGGTACGTGTCTCTAGCTATTAGCTTAGATTTCAGCAAAACTACGTAAAGCCTGCTTAGCCTCCTCATCAGCTTTAGCAAGTGACAAAAGCCAGAAGATTTATGTGCTAGTAAAGAAAATAAAGTTACAAGCATCTCCTTTCTTCCCTCCCCAAATTTTCTAAAGTCGGAACAGCAATTAGGTACCCAACCCTAGTGGAGTTTATAAAAAAAGTCCTTTAGTGCTTTGTTTGCTTTTCCAAGATCTTTCCCTTGGGGTATCTATTAACCAAGAGAAAATGCCTGTAACCTTTTAGGACTACAGCCACACACAGGCGTCCCAGCAACTGTGAGAGAGCCTGTGCACACCTCCAGTACCACCACTAACGTGCTCGTGCTCCCAGCCAACCAAACAGTCACAAATTCATACAGCACCATGAGTTAAGCACCCGTGATTTTTCAGTTGTATTAACCAAAGGCATTAAGGGAAAAACATCATTATTATACCAAGGGTGGTTTTTTTCCCCTTCCTCCTGAAACATTTCCACAAACTCCAATTAAAAAAAGGTTTCATATGCTCACAACAGCAGACTAACTGACCTTTGAAGGTAAGGCTAACCCAGCACAACTGCCCTCTAATAAACGTCGTGTATAGCAGAGACAAGTCTAAGAAGGGGTTGTTTTTCAAACGACAAATAGCGCAAGCGAGAAAGCACTGGAAGCGAACAAAAGCACTGCTTTCATAAAGCACTTGCATAACAACGTACATGGTCCCTAGGAAGGTGGATAAACCAGTTCATTTTGGTTTTAAACAAAAAAAGAGACCAGGGCTTAAGCCTCAGTATTCTAACCAGCTTATGCAGTGAATTGGTGACAGGACATCGTTGAAACTCACACCAACAACATTCTCTTACGCCGAAGTTTGTTCATGTCCAAATTCAAGAAGCATTCTTGAAACCCAAAGATTAAGTTTCTGATGTGAAAACCTCCTGTGAATTCCTACAGGCTTCTTCAGAAGTTTCAATCCCCATGCATCCCAGGCTTACAGATATACAGGTTAAGCACACATGCTTAGCAGTCACAAATGACAAGAAAGGCTATGTCAGCACTTACTCCTGGCAATGCGGGTCTAGCGAGTGACTCTCCTTCTGTCTGAAGCGTGGGTTCCCGAACTAAGCCAATCATTTTAGGTAGCTTTTCGTCCCTTTCTCCGGAATCATCACAAATGCTGGATCTGTCCAAAGCAAAAAGGAAGATATCTCTGGAGATATAAGTGCTGAAAAGCGTGAGAAAGCTTCTCATGTGCTATTTTTGCATTCAAACCAAGGCTTTTCAGCTAGTATTAAAACCTACCAACTCATGCTTCCCACATCCAACTTGTTAATCTCTCAAGCCATTTTCCTCCCCCTGGCCACCTTTCAGAAGGATTCAGCTTCTGACCATAAGGTTAGTAAAACCAAGCACTGGTGAATCAGAGAGAAAGTGAGCGGTGTGGGAAAAGAGGAAACAGAGATAGGTTAGAATCAATTTGAAAGAAAAATTTTTTAAGAAACCTTGGGACAAGAATTTTTTCCCCCCACATACCTTACTCCAGGTAAGTTACAAGTAGTGCATTTTTTACAGGAAAACACCCCACCACGAAATATTTACTGGGACATCTTTTGAACCTTGAAGCGAACTTAATATTTTAACTTATTTTTTAAGCAAGCACACTCCAATAACACAGGATTGAAGAGAGACATAAATCACATTGTTGAGCTCTACAGAGCCACAATTATGTACATACAAATACAAAAATTAAAGGCCCCTTATAAGAATGACACTGGCAGTTTGTAAGTTAGCTCACATTTGCTCCAACAAATCAAGGCAACAGATTAAAAAAACCCCACAATCCACATACAGTTAGATTATTCCATCTTCCTAATCCAAGCTGATCACAATACAGAAATAAGATAAGACCTCAGACATCAGGAGAATAAAGCAAAGCATTTCAGTCTCCAGAGGAGAGGAAAAGCATCTGAACATCATACATTGCTCCATTCCATTCAGCCCTTCCATACTGTTGAAAGGCATACAGATCCTCTCCAGATACCATCATGAGAGAAGGTTGCTATTTAAGCTGTCCTGTTGATGTCCCCAAGCAGATCCAGGGAGAACAAGGTCTTCCTACCTCCACCTTTAAGAGGCCTCAGCTCCTACTGTTTTAGGCAACGAACACAACTAAGTTTTTATCCGTGTTCAGTTTATGCAGTTCCGTTCTTTGCATCTTTTTACTGTAGGCTTAACCTTCCTGGTAAGGCTACAGCAGCACTTGGGGAAAAAGCATTTCTAAGAAAGAGGACGCTGCTTCTCCCTGAGCATTTCAACAAGCTTGATAGCCTTTCCTTACCGAGACTGCCCGTTGTCCTCAGATGATGAGTGGAAGCTCTCCATCTCCTCACTGTTCAGGCCCAGCTCAGAGCCATAGCTCTGGTGCACCAGCTGCCAGAATTCCTGCTTGGTCAGCCTCTGAAAGAAAGTGAGCTGGTCAGGAACTACACTATGGGACAGTAAGGCACAGGAGGTAAAACGGTAAGAAGTTTGAATTACGCCACAGCCTTTAACCTCAATTCTGACAAGGACTGAAAGCATTTAGGTATCACATTCCAAGATTGGATTTCAGCATTTTGGGGAACTGTACTCCTGTCTGCTCCACATTCCCAACCCATCACTGTGCAACCAGAAACACCAGACATGAGAGAAATTGTTATTTTGAGAAACCACATGCTTGTGGCCACTATTTGTTTTTTTCACACGTCACCAATGCTTTCACATATATCTTCAAAGTAGCTCCCTCTTGAATTTCACTCTGTATAGCACAAGACCAGTAACTAGTCGATAGTCAGGGACTTCCACTTTGACCCTGGATAAACTGCCTAACAGATACACACCTGTTTCCTCAGGACGCTCAGAGTGCTTTCCAAAGGGCGAGAGGCTAGCATGTCAGCCACAGACAGCGGCGTCTAGGTCAGCCCACTGTCTACTCTGGAAGGTGTGACAGCAGGTCCTCTCTTTGGAAGGACACCAGAACCCCCTTTACCCGAAAAAGTTGCTTTTGTTCAGTAACAGCATACCTTCATTCATCACTAGCTACTCTCTGTGCTCTCTCTGCCCTGCTCCATGAATTCTCACAGCCCCTGGGGTATATTTAAGTTCCCTCAGATCGTCAGGAAAGTCAGGAAGTGAAAGCAGTATGACAAAGTCATATCGACAGTGTAAGCAACTAGTTTCAAAGTCCACTTCAGCTAGAGAGAGAAAGGAAATAAGGTTGTGGGATTTAGCGGAGCTCAGAGAACCATACCAGCAATCTTAAATAAGAGACAGCACATGGAAAATGTGCCTCAGCCACAATCCATATTGATCAAGGGAACAGAACTGTGCTAATGAGGCAGTAACACAAGTGCTGCTTACTATTTGCATGAAATGAGCACGTTAGGTACCCATGCATTATTTAAAGCTCTTTTAAACGATCCTCTCCACCTGCAGAGCCTTACCAGAAACCCGCCGTTTCAGACAGAGGAGAAGGCACAGAGGCGAAGGGGGCCGACC